TCCTCTTTGAGGAGGCACACCTCAACTGGGCCGCGCCACTGGATTCCCTTCCCTGGGTCATTTTATTACTCTCGCGTTCTTCCAAGGATCTGCAGATTTTCTTATTTATAAGCACGGCTAGCTTGAACTCTTTAGAGGTTTTTTTCCTGCGTGGATGCTCGCTGGCTCTGTCTGGGGAGGGGCGGAGGGAGGGGGCAAGCGGGGAGGGTCCAGGCAGCCCCCTCACCAGATGCCCAGGTGGCTTAAGTGGGGGAGGGGGCAGTGGGGAAAAGTGGGGGGCTCTGGGATGGAAGCACCTTCCTGGCTCTCTCTCTGATGTAAATAGGGGTCGAATACGGGCAATAAAGGTGAGCAGCTGTGAGTGCGCTCCTGGGGTGTCTTGGGAGGAGGATGGGAGGAGGAGGAGGAAGGGAGGAGGAAGGGAGGAGTGGGGAAGTAGGAGGGGAAAAGGAGGAAGCAGTGAGGAAGAGGAAGGGAAGAGATTTGTGGATGACACCAAGATGGCAGGAATAGCCAACACTCCAGAAGACAGGCTTAGGATACAGGAGGATCTGGACAGACTTGAACACTGGGCGCTATCTAACAAAATGAAATTCAAGGGTGAAAAAAGTAAGATTCTACATTTAGGCAAGAAAAACCAAATGCACAGGGATACTATAGGGGGTACCTTGCTCAATAGTAGCAACTGTGAGAGGGATCTCGGAGTCCTAGTGGACAATCACTTAAATAGGAGCCAGCCGTGTGCTGCAGCTGCCTAAAAAGCCAACACAGTTCCAGGCTACATTAACAGAAGGATAGAATCGAGATCACATGAAGTGTTAATACCACTTTACAATGCCTTGGTAAGGCCACACTTGGAATCCTGCATCCAGTTTTGGTCACCACGATGTAAAAAAGATGTTGAGGCTCTAGAAAGAGTGCAGAGAAGAGCAACAAAGATGATTAGGGGACTGGAGGCTAAAACATATAAGGAACGGTTGCTGGAATTGGGTCTGTCTACTTTAACGAAGAGAAGGACGAGGGGGGACGTGATAGCAGCCTTCCAGTATCTCAGGGGCTGCCCCAAAGAAGAGGGAGTCAAGCTATTCTCCAAAGCGCCTGAGGGCAGGACAAGAAGCAACGGGTGGAAACTCATCAAAGAGAGAAGCAACCTGGAACTAAGGAGAAGTTTCCTGACAAGTCAGAACAATTAACCAGTGGAACAACCTGCCTCCAGAAGTGGTGAATGCTCCAACACTGGAAGTTTTTAAGAAGAGACTGGACAGCCATTTGTCCGAAATGGTATAGGGTTTCCTGACTGAGCAGGGGGTTGTACTAGATGACCTCCAAGGTCCCTTCCAACTTTTTTATTATTTGTCTGAAATGGTATAGGGTTTCCTGCCTGAGCAGGGGGTTGGACTACATGACCTCCAAGGTCCCTTCCAACTTTTTTATTATTATTTCTCTGAAATGGTATAGGGTTTCCTGCCTGACCAGGGGGCTGGACTAGATGACCTCCAAGCCCCCTTCCAACTTTTTTATTATTGTCTGAAATGGTAGAGTTTCCTGCCTGAGCAGGGGGTTGGACTAGATGACCTCCAAGGTCCCTTCCAACTTTTTTATTATTTGTCTGAAGTGGTATAGGGTTTCCTGCCTGAGCAGGGGGTTCGACTAGATGACCTCCAAAGTCCCTTCCAACTTTATTATTATTATTATTATTATTATTATTACTATTATTATTATTATTATTATTAAGTAGAGGACTAATTTTTAAGGTTTGACAGCCGCTGTTACGACTCCGACAAAATCAACAATCCATCAAAGAGGGGTGGAGAAAAAAATGAACAAACGTTACATATTTTATTCGTTCCGTCTTTGGTTCGGCCTGGAAACTCAGAAGCTTCATCGTCGGCGAGACCCCCAAATTACACACTTCCAAAGGAGGGGTTTGTTTTCTTTTTGCACAGCCCGCTTGACCTCCCGCTCTAGGCCCAGCCTCCCTCCCCATGGGTTGGAACAACAAATCCCATCATCCCTGCCATGGGTCGCAGCAGACTGCCGGAGTCGGAGGGCACTCCGAGAACCCCAAACTCGGGGGGGACCTGAATTTGTCCAAGCAAGCATCAACTTCAACTGCCACCTTGGCTTTTTTCCCCCAGCTATGGATCCTTTCTCTGCCATCATTGTGGGGTGCAAATTCTTGAGTACCCCACCCCTTCCACCCTAACCCCCCCCCCAAAAAAAACATTTGGTATTTAAATACAGTAGAGAAAAAACACTGGATATTAATATTATGCAAGACGCTGAAATTCAGAAAGGGATTTTCTGCTTCTCCGTGACCCCCAACTCTTGAGCTGATGGTGGGGGGTCCCTAACAGCCCACAAAATTGGGGTGGGGGGGCGTCTTGCTATTTTAGTGGTTAAGCCACATAGCACCAGCAACCGTGCCTGGCCAAGACATTGAAATAGGAATTAAAATACCAACTATCCACAAATTGGGGCCGGAAACGGTAAAACGGTCGGCCTGACACGTCCGCAGCATTTGTTTCGTCCTTGGTGCCAACGGGACCACGCCACGCCGACACCCACAAACACACCCCCCGTGCATAATCCAGACAGACTCACACACCCAAAAGTGTCACCCGAGCGGCTCCCAGCTCAAATCGGCTTAAGACTACAACGCCCATCCCCTCCCAGGCAGCCCAGCCTATCCCCGGAGGGCTCCACGTTGGGGAAAGCAAGTCCAAACCACGTCCAAGAACTGTGAATCAGCAATTGAGACAGACAGATGTCTCCAGATGTGCGGCTTTTCGAACTTCACAAAAGCATCTGTGCACCAAGGCGCTCGGCTCTTTAGTCTTGGGATCATCTGATACGGGTCCAACAAGGAAGCCATTGTTAAACCAAAGATGGCTTGTTTTGTTTTCCTTTTAACAAGCACGGATTGTTCTTTTCCTCCAGGGGTTTTTTTGGGGGGTGGGGGTGGGAAGGGCGGTGCCACGGCTGCTAATCTAGAATTATTTTTATTCTGCCAAGCGTCCTTTTATTAATTATCCACCCGGCACATTTATCTGATGGACGATTTCTTCGTTGTTCCCTCCCGGTCTCTGCTCGGGAGTCTGGAGAATCTATGGGGCATAGACACCCATCTTTGGGAATTACTAATTCCACACCCCAGGAATAAAGCTCTCTCTAAGGCAGTGGTTTTTAAACTTGGCACCTTCAACCCCCAGAATTCCCCAGCCAGCACTTACAAATTGCCAAGTTTGAAAAACATTGCTTTAGATCAGGGGTCTCCAAACTTGCACCTTTAAGACTTATGGACTTCAAATCCCAGGATTCCCCAGCCAGCCACGTTATCATTTATAAAGGAGACTATCATTAGAAATCCAGGTCCAGATAAACTATGTCTGCAGCATACCCCTGATCTACTAAGTCCGTCATTCTACACTGGCTGGAGAATTCTGGGAATTGAAGTCCATATATCTTAAAGATGCTGAGATTAAGAAATAGAATTCTTCAGGATTAGAGGATGAATCTGCCCGGGTTTATGTGCAAAGTCTTGGTGACACAGTAAGCCATCGTTCTGACTTTTTTGACCAGACAGCCTTGGTCCCCACACTCCAAAAACCTGAGCAGGCACCCCAACTCAGCTGAACACCCCCACCGATCTTCTATGCCAAAAGTTTCCCTGAAAATCACAACTTTAACAGCAGAACAACTAACCCAACTTTCCCCAACCTCTCCTCCTTCAGAGAGCTGGACTTCAACTCCCATAATCCCCAGCCTGGAGATGGCAGAGAGAGTGCACCAGACAGAATCTAACAAGTTTTGTGCAGAAATGCAAGCCCACAACAGCTTCTGAGAACAGAGGCAACTAGGATAGAGACCCAGTCTTTGGACACATAGAAATTTTCAAGCGCAACCATCACTGTCAGACCCAAACATACCCACAAAAACACACATATACGCATACTCTCTACACACAAAAAGCCCACATACACTCCCTCTCTCTCTGTCAGGTCAGAACCAGGAAAATTGTCCCTGATTTGAGATGATTTCAACTGCTCATTACAGAGGTCCTCTGTCCAACTTCTCCCGTCTTCTCGAAAAACATAAAATCCTGCGAAAAGCAGAAGAGAAATTGCTGAAGTGCCTGGTGGTCTCCTTTTCTTGGGAGGTGTAGGGAAAGTGGACCACCCACCCCAGTTCTCATCATCTTTCCTCAACTCTGGAGCCGGACTCACAATGAGGAAGCAGGCTCCGAGGAGAATCGCCTTGACCTTCACGTCCAGATCGATGGGGAACTGGATCCCAAAGTTGTCCGTGTCGGTGAAGATTTCCTTAAGGAGGCCGCTCCACTGCTTACTGATCCGGCCCACCCCACGGGACTCATCCCGGGTCTTCACCTGCAGGAAGACATGAGGGATGCGTTTACGTACCGCATGGAACAATTGGCGACCGCGAAAGGACATCTGCCTGTAACCTCACATCAAATGTACACCGTACTTCCATCTCCACCTGGTGCAGGAATTAGATTTCCAAGCTTGTTTTTAAGATCTCGTGAGAATATTCTAAAGGAGATGGGTTTCTTGAGCATGTGCAAAAGGTCCCTCCCCCAAAATTTGAGCCCAGGGTCTGTAGATGTTGTCTCTCTGGGCCTGGATTTCTCGACCCTTTGGCATTTTAACATGTGTGGACTTCAAAGCTGGCAGGGGAATTCTGGGAGTTGAAGTCCACACATCTTGAGGACTGGTTGACTAACACTACAGATAGTCCTTGACTTACGAGCCCAACATTTCTGTTGCTAAGTGAGACACTTGTTAAATGAATTTTGCTCCATTGTACGACCTTTCTTGCCACAGCCGTTAAAGTGAATCCCTGTGATTGTTAAGTCAGTGACATGGGTTGTTAAGTGAAACCGGTTTCCCGATTGACTTTGCTTGTCAGAAGGTCGCCAAAGGAGATCACGTAATGCCGGGACGCTGCAACCATCATAAATACGAGCGAGTTGCCAAGCGTCCGAATTTGGATCACGTGACTTTGGGGTGTGAAAACTGGTCATTAAGTCACTTTTTTCAGTGCCGTTGCAACTTTGAATGGTCACTAAACAACCTATTGTTAAATTGGGGATTGTCTCTATTCTGGTCACACCTCGAAGCTGACATCCCCGCCGCAACTGCAGGCAAAGCAGGGCCCCAAAACACGGAGCACCGTCTCCTTCTCGACGTTCTGGATGGAGAACCTGGGCATGAAGGGATGCCAGGTCTGCACCACGTAGCCGATGGTGGCACCCGGCGGGCACTGGACTTCCATCTGTGAGAAGGCAAAGTAAAACTGGTGTCAGAAAAGTGAGGTTAAGAGGTTGCCCAAGTTAAGTCCCAATGCTTGGACAAATATGTTCTATTGCAACCTAACAGAGAGGAGAATTCACACAACAACACAACAGCCGCACTGACAATGGTTAAATCAAGAGTTTCGCTTTAGGTTAGTCCACCAGGTGAGAGATAAAATTGGGGTCCCAGGGAGGAACCGTACTGAGATCTCTGTAACAGGATTTCATTCCTTTTTTCATAAATCTCGTTAAAGAAAACTTGGGGAATATTTCACTCTTGGTTAAAGTTGGCTGTCAAGAGATTGACAGGACATCCACCCAACAGGAATACCAGGACAGCTTTAAAAGGACAGAAGGGATCCTTTCCCAAACCACCACAGGGCTAATTACCAGGAGACGGTGAGTTCTAGTTCTGTCTTCGGCATGAAAGCTGGCTGGGTGATTTGGTGCTGTTCTGCCAGAGCTCACTGTCTCCTGGTGATTGGCCCAAAGTCACCCAGCCGGCTTTCATACCTAAGGTAAAACTAGAACTCACCGTCTCCTAATGATTGGCCCAAAGTTACCCAGCTGGCTTTCATGTCTAAGGCAGGACTACAACTCACTGTCTCCCAGTGAAGCCTGGGCGCATCGCCCACTAGACCAAACTCGCTGTGTTACCTCCTGAAGGCAGCAGGGGAAAAAGCAGCTGACGCATTTCAGTGGACGGACAAGCCGGATGACTTCGCGGCCACTGGGGTCGTCCAGCCGCATGGAGAAGCGGCGTAGAGAGCCGCAGCAGTTCCTGGTACAGCAGTCGTTCTGCTCTTCCGCGTGGAAGATGTGCTGGCCGAGGCTGTTTCGCACCTCGTACTTGTTGTTGCCTTCGAAGCCGATGAAAGCTGCAGAGAGAAAGAGGCCAGAGAGAAAGGGATCAAGGAGAGCAAGAGGTGCTCAACGCAAAATGGGTTGTGGGCTCTGCAACAGACTGCAGTGGGGACGGTCAACCAGTCTGAAAGGGAATTGCACAGGGAAGCGAGTGGGGACACCCCCCCCGAGGAGGGGCTCTGAGGGAGCCTAACCCTAACCCTAACCCTCCAACTTCCGGGATTGTGCCCAAACTCTAGAAAAGATGGAGAAAACATCCCTTGTATTTCAACGTTGTTCTTGCCATTCTGACTGTAGCGCTAAACGGTTCTCTGGCTACACTGCATCTCTTAATTTTCTTTCACAGGCAGTCCTTGACTTAGGACCGTAATGGAGCCTGCCCATTATTGGTTGTCAAGTTGTGATGGTCGTAAAGCAGGTCATCCGGTAACCAGACCTGATTTTCTGATCTTTTCTGCGGCGGTTGTATAAAGCAAACACCGGTTTTTGACAAAAACATTATAAGTTGCGGTTATAAGCTGGCTCAGGAATTCTGGGAGTTGAAGTCCACGAGTCATAAAAGAGCCAAGGTTGACTACCCCTGGTCTAGTTAGTCTCTTCTTAAAAATCTCCAGTGATGGAGCGCCCACAATTTCTGGTGGCCAGCTGTTCCACTTCCACTTTCTGACTTCACAACTCCCGCGGTTCAAGGCCTTAAGAGAAGCGGAGATCTGGGCAGGCCCCCGGAACTCTGTCCATGCACAAGGTCTCGAAATAATAATAGTAATAATAATAATGGCTTTGACACCATACCTTCTACAAGTTCCACCTTCTGATGGATCAAAATTTGGTCTACCTGAAGAGAAGCAAAGAGAGCAGAATCAGAGAGAGCGATAAGCAGTTACATCACCAATGCAAACCAGCAGAGAGATTGTGCAAAAATAAAAATTAAAAAAAAAAACAACTGAAAATGGGCTGAGGACAGCAATAGGCATTGCTTTAGAACGGGGGTCCTCAAACTTGGCCGCTTTAAGACGGGTGGACTTCAACTCCCAGAATTCCCCAGCCAGCCCTGCAACTTTAAGACGGGTGGGCCTCCAAGGTCCCTTCCAGCTCTCTTCTCTTCTCTTCCCTTCCCTTCCCTTCTATTCTATATTTTATTATTCTGTTCTATTCTATTCTATTCTATTTTATTCTATTCTATTCTGTAATTTATTATTCTATCCTATCCTATTCTATATTCTATTCTATTCTATTCTATTCTGTAATTTATTATTCTATTCTATGTTCTGTTCAGTTCTATTCTATATTCTCTATTCTATTCTATTCTGTAATTTATTTTTCTATTCTATCCTATCCTATTCTGTATTTTATTATTCTATTCTATTCTATTCTGGAATTTATTATTCTATTCTATGTTCTGTTCTGTTCTATTCTATATTCTCTATTCTATTCTATTCTATTCTATTCTGTAATTTATTTTTCTATTCTATTCTATTCTATATGTTATTATTCTATTCTATTTTATTCTATTCTATTCTGTAATTTATTATTCTATCCTATTCTATTCTATATTCTATTCTATTCTGTAATTTATTATTCTATTCTATGTTCTGTTCAGTTCTA